CCCCTCCTCCAAGCACCACACCGGCCTAAGCCCCTGCCCCCCCTCCGAGCACCGCACTGCCGAATACCAAAAAAAAAAATACAAACGCCGCCCTGCCCAAAGGTGCTGCCCCAAGCACGTGCTTGGTCAGCTGGTGCCTGGAGCCGGCCCTGTGCAGGTTTCACCGCTGTGCACTTTAGCAAGGGGTGATATTTGAACAAAGGGAGCTAGCACATGTGAGGGTCAAATGGAAGGGTGCCAAATACCACACGGTGGGCATTTCTGCCATTTAGGGTTCCCAGGTGTCTGGTTTTCGACCGGTACACCCAGTCGAAAAGGGACCCTGGCGTCTCCAGTCAGCACCACTGCCAGGCCGTTAAAAGTCTGGTTGGTGCGGGGCTGGCAGGCTCCCTACATGGCTCCGCAAGGCTCCCCAGAAGCATAGAATCATAAGGTTGGAAGAGACCTCAGGAGGTCATCTAGTCCAGCCCCCTGCTCAAAGCAGGACCAATCCCCAACTAAATCATCCAAGCCAGGGCTTTGTCAAGCCTGACCGTAAAAACCTCTAAGGAAGGAGATTCCACCACCTCCCTAGGTAACCCATTCCAGTGCTTCACCACCCTGACAGTGAAAAAGTTTTTCCTAATATCCAACCTAAACCTCCCCCACTGCAACTTGAGACCATTACTCCTTGTTCTGTCATCTAGATCCATCCTCTTTGGAACCTACCTTCAGGTAGTTGAAAGCAGTTATCAAATCCCCCCTCATTCTTCTCTTCTGCAGACTAAATAATCCCAGTTCCCTCAGCCTCTCCTCATAAGTCATGTGCTCCAGCCCTCTAATCGTTTTTGTTGCCCTCCACTGGACTCTCTCCAATTTTTCCACATCCTTCTTGTAGTTTGGGGCCCAAAAGTGGACACAGTACTCCAGATGAGGCCTCACCAATGTCGAATAGAGGGCAATGATCACATCCTTCGATCTGCTGGCAATGCTCCTACTTATACAGCCCAAAATACCATTAGCCTTCTTGGCAACAAGGGCACACTGTTGATTCATATCCAGCTTCTCATCCACTGTAATCCCTAGGTCCTTTTCTGCAGAACTGCTGCCTAGCCACTCAGTCCCTAGTCTGTAGCAGTGCATGGGATACTTCCTTCCTGAGTGCAGTACTCTGCACTTGTCCTTGTTGAACCTCATCAGATTTCTTTTGGCCCAATCCTCTAATTTGTCTAGGTCCCTCTGTATCCTGTCCCCACCCTCCAGCATATCTACCACTCCTCCCAGTTTAGTGTCATCTGTAAACTTGCTGAGGGTGCAGTCCACCCCATCCTTCAGATCATTAATAAAAATATTGAACAAAACCGGCCCCAGGACCAACCCTTGGGGCAATCCGCTTGATACTGGCTGCCAACTAGACATGGAGCCATTGATCACTACCCGTTGAGCACAACAATCTAGCCAGCTTTCTATCCATCTTATAGTCTATTCATCCAGCCCATACCTCTTTAACTTGCTGGCAAGAATACTGTGAGAAACATGTCCCTCGACCCTCGGCTCCTCGACATAGGGGTGGCCATGGGGGCTTCACACACTGCTCCCACCCCAAGTGCCGGCTACGCAGCCCCCATTGTCCGGGAACCATGACAAATGGGAGCTGCAGGGGTGGCGGGCGTGGGCAGCATGCAGAGCCCCCTGGACATGCCAGTTGCTTCCCGGAAGCCGCCTGAGTTAAGTGCCACCTGGAGCCTGCACCCCAAACCCCCTCCCACATGCAAAGTCCCTCGTGGAACCCCATGTCCCACCCACACACACACACACACCCCAACCCTTTTCCCCAGCCCATAGCCCCTCTCACACCCTGAACCCCTCATTTTTGGCCCCATGCCAGAGCCCGCATCCCCAGCCCAGTCCGTATCCCCTTCCACACCTCAACTCCCTGCCCGAGCCCAGAGCCCCTCCCACACTCCAAACCCCTTGGCCCCACTCCCCAGCCCAGAGCCCCCTCCTGCATCCCAAACCCATCATCCCTGGCCCCATGCCAGAGCCCGCACCCCCAGCTGGAGCCCTCATCCCCTCCCAACCCTCTGCCTCAGACAGGTGAAAGTGAGCGAGTGAGGGTGGGGGAGAGTGAGCAACAGAGGGAGGGGCAATGGAGTGAGTGGGGGCAGGGCTTCGGAGAAGGAAGGGGCAGGGGCAAGGCAAGGGTGTTCGCTTTTGTGTGATTAGAAAGTTAGTAACCCTACTGCCATTCCAATTTTATATAACCACATGGGATGGATTTTTACTAAGAATTTCAGAACAACATTAGCAGTTCAAGCTAAAAATCACTTGGCTACAATCTCCAGCTTTCAGAGCTGTAAACTAAACATGTAATGAAATCCTACAATAATTACACAAACAAAACTCCCATTTCAGTTCAATAGGAGTCAATAAGTTAGCGGTTATTCATACTTCTAGGTTCAGCTATTGGTGTGCATGTTATATGTTTCCATCGCCTCAATACTAATTTCAGAGTTGTTGTTCTTTGCTCATGTAAAACAGATTGGATTTCCAGTGGGAGGAGGAAATGAATGAAGGAATTTATCCCAACCTCTACTTGGTAAATACCTCTCTATTACAAAAGCTCATGCTTTGATGATTTGCATGAAGTGGATAAACTTCCTTTATAGTAAAACAAATCCACTGATCATGCCAGTTTGGTTAGCAAATGAAAAATCTGAAAAGCACAAAGCTGCAGTTTGAAATCTACCAATCAGTCATGGGCTTTCAGTTGTTGTATGCTATGTCCAGATTGACTAAGTAGGAAAAGTAATTAGATGGCCAACCAGCAGAGAAGAATTTTATTATAAGATTTTCTTCATAGTAATTGTAATTTACAGTATTGGTAGCTTCATCATGATGAGAAGGATAATATATTTTCATTAAACTCTAGTCACTTACTTCCAGACTTAAACTCCTAGCGCAAGTCAGAAAGTCAAGGGATCTTTGAGAAAATAAAGTCCTCCTTTACTATTTATGAATGTTACAAAATATCCTCTATTGACTTTGTGCCAAATATGTATAGGCTTCAATAGCATTACACTAACTATGAGTCTGCCCATTTGTCTACTTAACAGATCCCAAACTTGTCAACATAACAGACTATATCCTTAAAGAATACCTGCTGCAGGATCTTAAGTGAATCTCCTTTTCTACTGGACCATTTTTATAAAGCTGAAGTATTTTTAAATACAGCCTTAGTCATGGACAGAAGGACATGCACCGTTCATGAAAGACCGTTCATATTTTGTGTTACTGTTTATTTTCATGGACATGCCACTCCCTTAAAGATTTAAAGTAAATTGACAGACTGAGGGAGTCCAAAACTGCTCTTCAACTATCTACTTGTAGTAGCTCTGAAATGCAACTGTGGCTACCTCCTCACTACGGGGGGGGAGGGGTGTCGATTTAAGATACGCAAATTCAGCTACGCGAATAGCGTAGCTGAATTCGACGTATTGGAGCCGACTTACCCCGCTGTGAGGACGGCGGCAAATCGACCTCCGCGGCTCCCCCGTCGACGGCGCTTACTCCTACCTCTGCTGGTGGAGTACAAGCGTCGATTTGAGGATCGAATGTCGCGTCCCGACGAGACGCGATAATTCAATCCCCGAGAGATCGATTTCTACCCGCCGATTCAGGTGGGTAGTGTAGACGTAGCCTGTGTTTGAGGTGGAGGACAGCAGCTAACTGAAACACAGCTGAGGTATGTGATAAATTCTGGCCAATGACAACTTACGCAAACTCCTACTCTTATTTAAAGTGCTATGGCAGCATTAGTAACCATGCAGAGCAGAAAGCATCTTGGTAAACTACATGGTATTCAATTGATCTGTTTTAGAAGGATGAAAGGCTAAATTGAAATTCCTGGAACTAATATCTATTGTTGCAGAGTCTAAAGATTTCAGAGTGGTAGCCGTGTTAATCTGTTTCAGCAAAAACAATGAGGCGTACTTGTGGCACCTTAGAGTCTAAATAATTTTTTAAACCTGAGTCTTGTCCCACTAAATTGTCTCCTTTGACTGAAAATATACTTCAGTAAGATTTAAATGATCTCTAAAATGTACTTTACCTTGGATTCCAAGTAAATGTTGGCTAAAGACATCTTGGAAATCTTATACAGACAGATGGAGAGTGAGATGGCGCACAGAACAAACAATGTGTCATTAATTGCCACCCGGACAGAGACAATGACTTTCCTCTCTGAATTGTCTGTTCTCACCAACACAGCACATGTTAAATTCACCAAGAGGAAGAGGAGACTGATGAAGAGAGAAGCCAGATAGAGAGGCAACCTGGAGAGGAAAAAACAGGTGTTTAGAAAACTACTATTTAGCAAGTGTCAGCAATGTGCTTGAAGCAGCACATAGAGCAAGGGAAGATACTGTCCCTGCGTCAAGGCTGTCCCAGCTGACACACTGAGCCAGCTACACCAAACTGATTCAGAATGCTCTATGTGGCCTGGAGGATGATTACAGTTGATTTCACAACTATTTTTAAAATCCAGAATAAACTGATATTCAAGCCATATACTTACTTGTAAGGGATAAAGCATGAAAGATGGGGTAGTCTTAACACATACGGGAGAAAAGCATGTATAAGACAAATGTAATATACACAGATCTTTACATCTATTTTAAACAGATGTGTTTACTTTGCTAGGCTCTGCACATCATACCTCGCAGGAACCCCTCTGACCATTCAACCAGACTCAGCATGCATGAGGAAGCCATTGTTGGCTGAATGGTCGAGCTGTGTGGAACACCATGGCTTTAGGCCTGGGTATTGTACACACTCAGTACCATAAGTGGGGCAATTTGCCCCGGGCCCCGCAGGGGCCCCGCGAGCCCTGGCCTGGCCCTTCGGTGGCATTTCGGCAGTGCTGCCGAAGACGCGGAGCAACTGAAGGCCCCTCCCCCCCACCGCCAAAATGCCGCGGAAGACCCTGACCTCCGTCGGGTGAATACAAGCGCTGCAGCTCCTCCGCTTTGCCCCAGGCCCCCTGAATCCTCTGGGCGGCCCTAAGTACCATGAGTAAACCCATTGACTACCCATTTTTTAAAGTAATATTTTATGTCAAATAGAGGAAGCCCTTTTTAAACTCTAAAAGCCATGAGGCAGCTAGCTACCCAACCCCTCTTTCTCCTCCCCCAAATATCCTTGTCACATGCAGCTTCTTTGAGGGAACATTCAGATTTCTAAATATTAAAACTTGGGGCTGGCTTGGCACCTTGCAACCCACTCCAAGTGAAGGACAGTACATAACTGCACTGCCCAAGATCAGAGCAAGACCTGAACTATGAGTCTGAAAGCTGCCCCCTCCTCAGCCATCCGTTCAGGAGAGGGGATAGCAACTTGGCAGCAGGTGCTTTGCTCTCCCTCTTCTCCACACCTCCCCAACGTTGCAATGCAAAGTCCATGCAGAAACATAAGGATGCTCCTTTACTCCCATATGCAGTAGCAGAGCCAAGATCACAATCGGTCTCATAATTAAAAAAATAAGCAAAAGTGTTACCATTCTTATTGATTACTTATTTCAGTATTATCAAGTTCTGTTAAGTTATTAAGGGTCTGGCCAGGAGTTAGTTGCGGGAGGGGGCTCAGGGCTAAGCCAGGGGGTTGGGTGTGGAGTGCTTACCTGGGGCAGCTCCCGTTTTGTGCAAGGGGTGCAGGTGGGGATGTACGACTCAGGGTGGACAGGGGGCTGGAGGTGTTGGGGGGACGGGGTGTGGGGAGTTGCAAGAGTCAGGGGGGCTGGGTGTGTGTGAGAGGGATGCAGGAATCAGGTCTGGGTATGTGTGTGGGGGTGCAGGAGTCAGGGAGGGCAGGTGGCGGAGGTATGTGAGGGGGGTGCAGGAGTCTGAGCTGGGGGTTCAGGGTCTGGGAGGGAGTTAGGGTGCAGGAGCAGGCTGAGGGTTGGGGTGCAGGGTCTGGCCAGGAGTTAGGATGCAGGAGGGGGCTCAGGGTTGGGGCAGGAGGTTGGGGTGTGGAGCACTTACCTGGGCAGCTCCCATTTGGTGCAAGGGGTGCAGCCAGGGATGTGAGAGGGGTGCAGGAGTCAGGGCAGGGAGATGCGGGGGTGGGCTGGGGTTGTGGGGGTGCTGGCAGCCCGCTGCCCTGAGCGACTCACAGCAGGGGGCAGGTATGTGTAGGGAGAATGTGGGGGCCCCACCCCTGCTCTGCCCTGCCCCTGCTCCACCCCCTTCCCCAAGGCCCCGCCCCCACCTCCTCCCCCGAGTGCACTGCGGCCCCGCTCCTCCCCCTCACTCCCGGAGCAACCTGAACGCTGGCAAACAGCTGTTCAGCGGCAGTAAAAGTGTGGGGTGGGAGAGGGGCGGAAATGTGACATGTGGGGGAGGAGGCTGCGGAGGGGTGAGCTTGGCTGCCGGTAGGGGTGGAGCCTGCAGCAGGAGCCCCAGGAGCCGGCAGGACCAAGCTTCTGCCCCCGCAACTGCCCGGCCCTGGGGCCCCCTGTTGTTGGGGGGCCCCCATGCCAGGGCACCCTGTGTTTCACTGTAAATCCACCTCTGCCATAGGGTCTGCTTGGAGGTTTGGCTTGGGGTTGGGATATATGCCCAGGTTATCTTTTGAGTAATCTAAATTCAGAAGGTAAAGAATAGTTTCACTCACTTATACAGCAGTGGAAAATATTGCCCCAAAAGGTTAATAGTTGAATCATGAGTAGGGCTGCAGGTTTGTCATGGTGTTAGAAATGTCACAGATAACACGATATTTCTGTTTGTCTGTGAGACTTTTCTTTGCGTCTGTGTCTGTGATTTAATGAAGCTGTATTTCCCAAATCGTGGGTTGTGACCCTGCAGTGCATCTCAGGTAAGTTTTAAGAAGGGTCACCAGCACGGAGCAGAGGGGAGGGCTGGGAATTGGGCAGGGCTGAAAAGCTAGCCTGCCCCGCAATAACTGCACAGTGGCAATACCTGACTGGGCCTGGCTCCCCTGCTCTCGGCATTGTGTCCTGGCACGAGGTTGCTGTGCCATTTACTCAAATTTAACACATCTGCCTCACCCACCTGCCCCCTATCATGAGGTAGGGGTAGGTAGGCCAAACCTGAGCAGCACTGTGACCCTGTGCACCAGGCCTCAACACTCGGAGCAGGGAGCAAGAGCCAAGCCCAGCCCCATGAGACAGGAGCTGCCATTGCAGAGTGAGTGTGGGGCGGGAGTCACTCTCCAACACCCTCCACCCCAGGCCAGGAGTAGAGGTGTGGTGCCAGGGTGCTGCTGTGTCTGCTCAGTGCCCCATGGCAGGGCGAGGAGGAGGGGAGGGCGGGATTTACATATCCTGCATTTAAAGACATGGAGTTGAATGTTCATAGCTGTGACTTTACATACCACTTCCTCCTAAACATGTGACATTTCCTGAATGTACCATGGTTGCTCTGTGATTTTTTTATTTTTTTTAATAGAAAAGGCCATGACAAATCTGCAGCCTTGATCATGATACAAAATTAAAGCACTGTTAGCTCATTTCAAAATGAGTCAGTGCTCCCTTTTGCCAGAGCTGGTCATTGGAAAAGAAAGGGTGCTCCCTTGAAAGCCTTTTTATATGGAACAGGGAGAACTGAAAGAGCCTAAAGCCACTACTTATGTTTATGAATCAATCTGATTTTTTCCAGTTACATTCTTCAGTTAGCATGGATGGCCTGAGGTGGAAATTACCCCTCAGAAGGAAGATAGTGCTCACTGTGAACCTTAAGGATAGGGTATTTTCATTAATGCTATTTATAGATCAAATTCCAGCCTGCAGAAGTTTTTAGGGTGAGCATTCTGAAACATCTCCCTCATACCCCACAAAATAATGTCAAGGGCACGTTAGTCCTGCAACTTTTATCTTTCACAGAAATGAATTGGTCTGAAGAATTATGCTCCCTGTTCTAGTGATTGTAACTTTATGAATAAAATGTAAGCAAGGTCACAAAAGGCTTTAAGCGATGGGCATGCCTGTTCCTGTTCCTCATTCCCTTCCCCTACCACTTCTCAATGCATGCCCCCAACACAAAGTACTCTGCTTTTCTATCTCAGATTAGGAAAACTATTTCCCTCAATGGTGGTGCTCTTAAATTCTGCCCCTGAGCCACCATTCACAATAGATTGTGCAGAAGTTCCAAATGTGATCATGCATGCTCTCTGAGTTCCTTTGGCTCAGCTCCCTTGCAGTGGGGTCTGAAAACTCCCATGCCTGTGTGCTGTGCTAGGCTTCTTGTGCTTCAGTGATGCTTGTATGCCCCGCTAGACATTTTGACCTTGGTTCCCCACTAGAGGGACTGAGATGTGCTCTGGGCTGTACCAGTCTCCTTGCATTTGGATCCTGGATTGGGGGCAGCCAAAAGTGTTAGTACTTCCCTGCCACTCATACAATCCTGATGTCAAGATGAGCTGTAACTCACAGTTTGTACAGCTCTTTATAATACGATCGT